GATGAGTCGGTGATGTTTAAAGCTAATCCAGAGATCAAGCAAGAAGAAGAAAAGCGAGAAGAAATCTCATTTATCCAATTAGATGATGAGGTATTGCAAAAAGAGCTTGATATTTTATTAAAAGAAGACCCAAGTAAGTTCACGCTACACTCAGAAGAAGTTTCAGATGCTGACAAAGACTTGGAGGAGCTAGAAAAGCTACTGGAAGGAGCCGACTCAGACAACGATCCAGAATTGATGAAACCCGACCCGACTCGCCGAGTCGACATAATGGACTCGACGAGTCCAGTCGATTTGGAGAAAAACTTAACTCAAGCTGATTTATTTGTTGACAGTTCTTCACATACCCTGGATTCAGTTACTGTGAGTGATTCTTTGGAAGAACGATCTGCAGAAAAAGTAAAAGGAATGGAGGTCCAACACGCCAACGTGGCATGCCTTGATATGATGCCATTTGGAAAAGAGTCGAGCACAAAAGAGAATGAAGCCATAAATGGAAGCGGAGCGGAAGCTGATCCCCAATTCACCACTAAACCTAGAGCACGGACCAATATGAAGTATGAAGTTATCAAATTTAAAGAAAAGGAGGTTCAAAAATTGGTGAAAAAGCATGGGTTGAAAAAGAAGAAGAAAAGAGAGGCCCAACCAGCTGAGGATGATACAGCGAAAAAGAGAAGAGACGAATTGAAAAGGGCTTATAAGAAAAAGATTCACGCCTACAAGACTAAGTATAAACCGCAAAAAGTACGGCGCACATTCCCGATGCTTGAAGGCGACAAAACGTAAATGGGAAGGAGTCTAGCTAATGACTCCTCAAAAAGAAGCGCTTGGCGGGAGGCAACCCGTCGTTAGAGTTTGCTTTCTTTTACTCTTTTTTTTTTCATTTATTGTTTTTGTTTTGTGTTTTAATGTTAATCTTCCAAATCATCGAACTTGTCTGCTTAAGGGAGCACCTAGCTTAAGAGTGGGGTGAGAATATTTTGAATAAATAACAAAATTTCAAAAATTAGAAATGTTTTATAAACGACTCGCCGAGTCTGACCCTGACTCGACGAGTACATACTGATCTCAGAAAAAGTTTTAACTGCTCGCTGGGACTCGCCGAGTCTGACCCTGACTCGACGAGTCGAGCTTATTTACAGAAAAAAATAAACATTTTCGAAATTACTTTTACATCTAATAGGGTTTTAACCCTAAAAGTTCAATTTTCACATTACACTCGCCGGGTACACTTCTCTCTCAAGCATTCAAGACTTCTCCAACCTCTCTTCCAAATCTTCAAGAATTAAACTAAAAAGGTAACAACTTTCTTCTTGTTTTCTAGATAGAAAGTGATATTAAGGCCATCTACACTTGCAATTTCATGAAAAAAAACCCGTTTTTGAAATAGTGACTAAATTCTAGGTTTTTGATTTTATCATGGATCTTGTTGTTTTGAATGTTTATTATGGCCTTGGTACTTAGTAGGAAGTCCCTGAACAAAACCCTTGCAAGAATTTAGAGATTACATGGTTCAATTTGGTGAAACCCGTCGACTGACTCGTACAGGTCCCGCGACTCGCCGAGTCGGGCATGGACTCGACGAGTCCAGTCGAGATGCAGAAACAGTTTGGCTTGTTAACATTCTGTGTTTTCTGGGTATGGTTTATATGTTTTGCAGGAATCATGTTTAGAAGAGGACAATCTTCAAGGGGTAGCCAAGAGGAATTTCCATGGTTAAACTTCCCGCAAATCGAGTCCGCTCAACAATGCGGAAGTGGAAAAAGAAGCTTGCCGATATTAAAAAGAAGGAGGTTTATGTCCCGAACAGAATAGATTGGGAATGGTTGCAAACGGTGCGATATGAAGAGGAATTAGCTCCATACCTTTTAAGGGAGTTTCAACATGGCGGCGAGTCAATGATATGTGATGGATGGAGCCGGGTCTTCCGCATGCAAGAGCCGGTGTATTTGGAGCTTTGCTTGGAGTTCTTTTCCACGGTATCTTTTACCGGTGGAGTGGATTTGTATCATCCGGCAAGTTTTACATTTTGTCTTGGAGGCGAGTATCATCAATGCTCGGTGGTGGATCTTGCTTGCCGGCTAGGGATCTATGATCAACCGTGGGTTTCTACGAACCTCTTTCGGACCTTTTTGGCAACCACTCACATGGTGTTTCCCGATGGGGTTACTAGCACGGGTTGGTGGCACACTATTGGGAATAAAGTTTATATCCCGAAGTCCGCGCAGGAAGGGAGCATCCGATCCCCGACCCACCGCCTCATTCACCGCCTTATTTCCTCCACCATCAACCAGAGGAAGGACGATGACAAGGTTTCCAACCTTGATGTTTTCTACCTTTGGAGCATTATCACACCAGGCGTCTTTTGCAACATCCCGTGGTGCATTGCTTCATACCTCTCAGCTGGTGCGGTCAAAGATCGCAAAACATCGCGCATCAATGGAGGCATGTTTGTCACCCGTTTGGCTAATTCATTCGGGTTGATGAACCGTGGTGCCTGGAACCTCATGACTTTGATCCCGACACCCCCATTTAATCCTATTCTTTTCCGCAGGGCCCGAATTATTGAAGACTATGGTGGTGGCCATTATGCCATCCCAAATGATGACCCGGTTGTAGGTCCTGAAGCACCGGGAAGGAGGGTGCGATCGCGAAGGGAAAGGGATATGGAGGATGAGCCGCCGTGATTCCGGTAGAGAATGAAGATGTACCAATGGATTGGTACAATATAGAGATGAGGCGGATGCAAGACCAAATGGCGCGGGGGCTAAATTTTAGCAATCAATCCCACATACGACTTTTTGACCACTTCAATATTCCACATATTGATGGTGGGAATTATCCATATATTCCATCGTGGGACGAGAGGATTAGTGCACGCCATAGCGGAGCGGGAGGAAGTGGAGCCAACAACGATGATGAGGAGGATGAGGATTAATTTTTTGTGTTTTTGTGTTTAAACAATTTGCATTTTTATTTTGTTTTATTTTTGGTGTGTATGCTTTAAGATATTATTTTGTTTAATAGTTGTTTGCTTTAAGTATTTTCAGGATTGCATTTTGATTGCTTAGGATGAGGTAAAGCATGGTTGTTTTTACGTGTGAGAGCGAGTCAAGGAAGCGAGTTTTTAACGTCAAAGTGTCAAGTCCGGTCTTAGGAGTGTGAGCGATTGAGTCTGCATGTGAGGAAGCGTTAATGAAGTTGTTATGGACTCAAACAGTTGCCACATACCTAGATTTTTCATTCAGGTGCCAACTCGTCGAGTGCACTAAGCTGACTCGACGAGTCGCTTTGTATTTCCAGATATTTTCAGAATGCGCGCTACTACTCGGCGAGTCCATCAACAGACTCGACGAGTCGATCATTTTTTTAGCCGAATGACTGCTGATTTGGTGCTACTACTTATACCACTTGCATCCTTCCACTTCCATATCCATTCTTGAAGATCTTATGCCGATTTTCGCATGTTTAGAGCGACCCACACGATACATGGATGAGATTGTTCCCATGTATGAAGTTTATTGAAGATGGAGCTTAAATGAGAGTGATCAACCTATCCACTGCTATCCCAGGGGAGTTTGTTCCGATTCCCTCTTTATTTTTATGTTTCTATGCATAGTATGCAATGAGGGCATTGCATCACATAAGTGTGGGGTAGGGGGTTGGTTACATAATAGTCAATTTTCAAAAATTTTGCATACCAAAAGGATTATTTAGGATCTAATTTAGGAAATTTTGGTAAGAAAATAGGATTTCATGTTAGAATTGTGTTAATAATTGCATGACAACCCAAATGTTTAGTTGAGCCTATATACGTTCTAGTGCATTTGTGGCTTCCTTATTTCAGTGAAATCATGAGACAAAAACACGACCTTGCTCAGCCTGAGGGATGCAATATGTTTAGCAGCCTAAACCTGAAATGTATCCAGGAAGATTTTTATCTTAGCCAATAAAGGTTGAAGTTGAGCGCCCCTGCTTAAGCATGTAGGGTTTGAGTGAAAAAAGTGAGGTACATGTAAAAAAAAAAAAAAGAGAGAATTACAAGAAAAAGTTTGAAGAATTTTTGGAGCAATTAAAGTAAAGATTTGAAAAAATGAAGAAATCCAAAAAGTCCAAAGAAATCAAACAAAGGTGGTGAATTCAAAGATATCCAAGATCAAATTATCAAGCAAGTGAAGAATTCCAAAGAGCTTCAAAGTGGTATCGAAAAGTTGTAATTCTAGATTATGTATGCTTGGGTTGCTCAACCAAAAATACCTTGAGGTTAAAGAGGTTTTCTGAGGATGGATTCGGAGGGTTGCATAAAATGAGCATAGTTCGGGGTGAGTGGGCGAATGTTTATGAGGATTGTGAGTATTTGAAGTATGGGGGTTTTTAGGAATTTTAGACACAAATGCATGCGTTGCGGTCTTGGCATAATGGCTGGGTTGGATTGGAGTTATTATATGTGATTCTAATGTGTTAAAATTCAGTTTTGCTTGAGGGCAAGCAAAAGACAAGTGTGGGGTATTTTGATATGTGCATATTTAGTGTGTATTAAGTGTAGTTTATTATTCATATATTAGCTAAATTGTTGCATATTATGGACAAAAGGTACTTAAAAGTGTTAAATTGTGTTTTTCAGTCCAAAGATGAAGCTCGGAAGCGAAAGGAAGCAAGAGCGGTTAAGAGCTCAAGAGTGGAAAGAAGAAAGAAGAAAACAAAAAATAAGGCTTCTACTCGTCGAGTTATCTCTTGACTCGACGAGTCCGGTCGCGGATTCAGAAAGATAAACATTCGGAAGTCAAGACAGTTATCAGGTTACGACTAATGTGAGAGGGACTCGACGAGTCGCCATAATGACTCGACGAGTCGGTATGCATATATAAAGATAACTCTTTAATGGAAAGGGAGAGAATTCTGGGAAGTTTCAGAGGTGTTAAGCTGCGAATAAAGA